GCACTGCATTTTGAATGGCACATGTTCGAGTTTGAAAGCAGAATTCCCCTGAGCCCGAACAGGTAGTAAGACAGCTGAATGCACTTTTGATTACGTCTTGGCCTTGACAAAATAAGATGATCGATCTCTGGTTTTGAGACGTCATTCCAAGCAGCTGGAACTTCGTGGATTAGCTGTAGCAGAGTCTGTGCCGGATGGTGCAAAGTAGATAGACTCCTCCCCATCATATCCCACATATGTTCGATGGGATTTAAATCCGGTGAACGGGGTGGAAAACGGCAAAACATCAACTCCTGCTTGTTGAAGAAAGTCCGTAGTACTACGAGTAATATGGGGAAGTGTTTCTTCCCTTCTACGACCATCGTGCGTGCCTAGACAAAATCGCGATTCGTTGCTGAAGTTGACATTATGCCATTCTGCCACCCAATCTTGCCATTCTCTGCTCCAGCTCAAACGTTGACGACAGTGGTCTGCAGTCAGAGGAAGCAGTAATCGTGGATGGTATGAGAAAATTCGAAAGGCTCGAATGCGACGACAGAGTGTACGAATAGTAGCAGGAGTACCTTCTTCTTGGAACCATAGGGTGAGTTGACTGAAGCTCATATCTTGACGCTCTGTGGTACGCCTCGGTGGACCAGTTGGCCTAATTCCTGTTTCTCTATCTTCTATCCACACACCCATTACCGTCATTGCAGTACAATTAACACGTCGGTCAATTTAGCGATAGGTCAAAGCAACATCTCGATAAGCAATAATTCTGCCCTTGTCAAGGTCGTTAACATGGCGATAATTTGGACTTCTTCGAAGTCGGAGCATTTTGTTATGCTTAACACACTAGTAAATGGAAGAGCAATAACTAAAAATACCTGTACTACTCAGCTCTCAGAAACTGCTTTCATCACAAAAACTAAGAGATGGTATTTTAGCAAAGGTAAACAAAAACAAAGATAAAATGTTGACATTACTGCCACAGCATGCTTAAAATTAATATAGTGACTATGTAGCCAAAAATCAGGTTAAAGGAGTTGTTATTTTCTGAGTGTAACATTTCTAATGTAACTGAGTATATAAATGATAGTTATTTCGAGACAGAGCGTGGTATGACATCCAATAATATCGTTAAAACTACAGATAACAGAGTTTACCTTTCGCATATCGACCGTTTTTCTGACAAGTACTTGAAGCCATGGATAGTTGTACTCTCACAGTATTCCCGAAAATATCCTTTAGTACCAGAATAGTAGTAGCTTATTTTTGCTCGCCCATTTTTCACCTGCTTTTTCGTAATTGCACGCTCTATCGTGCCCTGCCTCGGTACTTCAGGAGAAGTTATGGTTGAAATCGAAATTGCACACTCATTTCCAAGAGACTCATCACAATTACTTGATTTTACAGAAGCCATTTAAGGATGATTCGTATACAAGGTGATAGCGCAAGCTGTAACACACACGTTTAAATGTTATTAATTAGCTTTTCAATCGTGTTTTAATGAGGAAATCTCACCACCTGGTGCACAAGGGTGTTTCCCTTTTCAATTTTATTCTAGTCGGCCTTCACATAGAGAACATGATATAAACAGTCCAGTTACAAAAAGTAAATTAGATTAACTGGGTGTGTTATTACTGGTTATATCAGGTACGAATACAGGTTCTGATATATTGAGTGTTTTAATTTTAAATCTCTATAGTGGGCATTACTTTTGCTCAGACTATTCACAGGGGTAATTCATTTCTCTTTAGAGGTTCTTTAGAACGAAGAAAATATTGAAACAATCAACCATATCCGGTTGTTTTATTCTCATTTTCTAATCCACAGGCTGGATAGACGATGTCTGCTTCCCATCTGAGCGACCATAACCAACCATATAAACAGTTGTTTCATGCTTTATAGCAATTATCAGTACGCCATAGGTCTATTCATTTGCAGACAAATTACGGAAAGTAAATAAGAGAAAATGAGTCTAGTGAAAAACACTGCCTCAGTGTAAAGCCAGTAGACTGAAGCACATTGACTCATTATTTGGTTGCATGAAGCTGGAAAAAAAAACACGTAGCTTATAGAAAACTATTTTATTGTATATGTTTAAATTACATAGGCATATAGGTATAAACAAAAATTAAACTGTTAGTTAATTTAATATATGTTTGTAGCTGCTGCACTTTCAGACCAGGACGTAAGGAGAGGCATATTCGTAACCTGGAAAGAGCAAATTTACTTACTGAATACATTATTGCTGGTGAGGTGAGCACTCCTTTCCGTAAAAGGAAAAGTAATGGCGGTAAAATATTGTCTGGGCGCAACTAGGAGACTACAGCTCTTTGTACGGTCTCCTGAATGAACTGGACACCAAAGTGCTGTTGATATTTGAATACAAAGTCTAAATATGTTTGCAAGTCATTAAATCAGTAAACCGGCAACTTGTGTACTAAGTAGTCGCTAGCCCATTCTGCGTCTACTACTAAAAGTTAGGATTACAGCAGAGAACGAGTACTGAACAGAAAAACATGAAAGGAAGTATAAGAGAAAGGTATTTCCAACGAATCAACATGATACTAAAGTCGAAACGCAATAGTAAAAATCTTTTACTACCAGCGAGCGGAAAGTATTCACTTTCAACGCGCATTTGTGTGTAGAAAGTAGCACTTTTCCGCACGCACTACGTGATTTTTTTATTAAATTGAATGTTTTTGGTAATGGAAATGAAGCCAAACTACTAAAGGCGGCGGCACTAGTTCTGCTTCGAGAACTCCTACAAGTTTTCATAAGGTTCCTGATGTTGTTGATGAGAATGCTGATGTTACAATTATTAAGTGACCTATAAAACATACTCCACTTCGCGTCGTTCGTGTAACTGCAAGTATCACTTTCCGCACTTGTTAGGTAAATAACTATTTCAAGGCTAATAATACATATTATGTGGGGCCATTGCTTACATACACGTTTGGACTACTGAATTGGACACAAACGGAACGACAGGACATACTCAAACTAAAACAAATGTTGCACCACAAAGCAGCACTTGAACGAATGACACTGAAGAGTACCGACGAAGGTAGAGTTGTGATTCACATCGTCAATCTACATAACAAGAGTATACTTAAACCTATCAGACCTGACATAGTGATTAAGAAGAAGAATGATAAGGAAGCACTTCTTATAGATGTCGCAATAACAAACAGCAATAACTTGGAACAAGCGTACAGAAGCAAACTTTCTAAATATACACACTATGACAAAAGTTGGGGAGGCAGCAAATATCTGACGAATGACTACTCATCTAATTTTTTCAAAAATTTGTAAGCCTAGATTCGAAACCACGGCGGATCCGTTGATGATATCCGCCGTGTTACCAAATCTACAGTTTTTCAGAAACTGATAGCAACTTTTGTTTTTGTTTTGACATAAAATTCTGAATACTTTTTATTGAACATTGACGTGGACCTCATAGTTTTTTTTTTTCGAAATATTCGCGGTCAAACATTAATCTTCAAACAATAAAATGTATTTTTTGAGCCTTGCAATGACCGGTATCGAAATTAATTTCCTGTCATCTCTGACATTTAAAAGTTTATTTTTGTCTAGTTTTGATAATAGAGCTGTTGAGAATGATTCATTTCACTGAAACCGAGACAATATAAATTCTAATGATTCTGCACCGGATGTCGTCAAAATGTTCTAACGCATTTCCGCAAATATGTGACTTATTACCAAGAAGTATATGGACAGCAATTTAAACAATAAACACTCAATCAAGCGGAATCGCACAGCAACCCTCTGTTGCGTGAATCAGTAGACTACTCAGTCAAGCAAGTTCTCAAACATTCCAGTACGCGCCTCGCACTGTGATCAAAATTAAATTGTAAATTCAGACCAGCCAAAATAATTTCAAAACCGATCAAAATTATTTTTGGAGTTACAAAATAATTCGAGTAGTCAAAGCAATAATGCTTAAGCTATTTCAAATGATTTACTTATTTTCTTTGCTCTATTTCTTCCTTCCCTTCTTTCCCTTTTCCCCTTAAACATGTTTGGTATCTGGGTAGCCAGACCTGACATACTAACAGACCGACGAGACTTTTAACTAAGAGCAAAGGTCCACCGGACCGCTCTGACGAATAATGACGAATAGTAGTACATTAAACACTTAATATGATTTTTATCTTGTTTAAATTAGCAACTAGGTTTTATCGTGTTCCTTTTTTCAATATTTTTCTCTTGTTTCCTTGGAATATCAAATACACTATTTTAATCAATATTAGAAATTCTGTCCTTTTGCTTTTAGTTAAATAAATCATATTTTCATTAACTCTATTAACAAAACTCGATGGACTTTTCAATGTCATTAATGACGGGAAATTGTTCTCCATGCCGGTCATTGCTTAGGTGAAAAATTTAACCTTTATTGTTATTTCGAAAACTATGAGGTCTACGTCGAGGTATGTTTGATAAAACGTATTCAGGATTTCTGGCGGAACACAAATATCGAATAAAACGTATAGCATCATTCCATAAGAAAAACAAAAGTGGTTCAGTTGTTATTAGCTAAAAATTGTAGATTTGGCAACATCGCAGATATTATGAACGGATCCGCCATGGTTTCTAAACTAAACCTACCAATCTTTTAAGAAAATCAGATGAGTCATTTGTTAGATATGTGATGCGTTCCAAACTTTTGTTACAATCTGTATATACCTATGCTTTGAAGTTAAGAGTTTGTAGAAATATGAAATGGTAGTAGTGCCAATCACAAGCTGCTTCTTTGGCTGGCAGCAACACTACATCTCCGTCATCCAACGCTACCCTCGGCACGCAGGCACAGTCACCCCGTCAGCGGCGTATTACACCTGTCGTGCTGCGGCAAAGTGGCGCACTGTCAACTATAGTTTTATCAGTGTTGGTATTAAGATTGATCGAGCACCTAGCTGTTGATGCTGGGATACGCATCGTACCTAAAAGCGAAGACGATTATCGGAAGATAATTCTTCTTTTCAAAGAGGAAAATGTTCCTCACCAGACATTTCCCTTGCCCTCTGACCGTAACATTCACGCTGTTATTAGAAGAATCCCAGCGTCAACCTGAGCATCAAATCAAAGATGAGCTCGCACAGAAGGGATATACTCCCCTCCACGTAATTCGCTTGAAGTGCAACGGCGGCGTGCGCATGCCTTTGGTGGTGGTGATCCTACCGAAGACAGAGAAGTCACAGCAAGTGTTCAACGAAAATGAACTGCTTGGGGTTCTCTATCAGATTTAAGGTTCAAAAGATTTTTCGACTCATTGGGCAGTGTCACCGCTGTCAGAAGTATGGACACGCGCAATCGTATTGCACTGCACCTCCAAAGTGTCTCAAATGTGCTCAAGACCACATGACACATCTGTGGCCTCAAACAGGACAAGAGGCGCGCAAATGTTCGAGCTATGGAGGGGACCATCTGGCCAACAGCTCTACCTGTAAATTCACACCTAGGAGAAATCTACTGGTCATTGCAAAAACACGAGTAAAACCATACGCAGGCGCAGCAAGGTTGAAATTCTGGCTGCTCCTGCTGTCCCGAGCTCACCTTCGACTGCTCAAAACGTGGACCTGGCAACAGCACTCAGATAATTAGTCCCCTGATAAGCGTTACACAGGCCTTGCAGGCGACCTTTCCGATAAATGGCTAGGTAGAATAGTGGACGGCCAGCATTCATCAAAATTCTTTTCTGGAATTGTTTGGGTCTTAGGGACATTCCAAAAATAACGGGTATTTGATCAAGTACTTTTGGATGAGAGTATAGATGTGGCTTTGTAGCAGGAAAGATTGCTTAATCCGGGAGATCGTCTACCTTTCCCGAATTACCATGTTAATCGAGCAGATAGATTAACTGGACGGGATGGCGGCTTGGCAGTCCCAGAGAAACGCAGTATTGACTACCATAGAAGCACAAATACCGAAACGTAGAGCATCGGGGCGGCTTCCATGGAGGTCAATATCATGGCGGGTGTCCCGTTCAAGATCACATCGGTGTAAATCAGGTGTGGTGCCAGGCTGCAGAAGGCGGACCTGGAAGTCCTTATGGACTACTCTGGTCCGCTTACTGTAGCAGGAGAATTCACCTGCAAACACAGAGCATGGCATTCTAGGTTGAATTCCACCAGTGGGAGTCGACTGTGCAACCATGTGATATGAAACGGCTACCTCATACACAGTACTGAAAAGCCCTCGCACCACCGATTTATCACCTTCAGGCACCAGATGTCATCGACTTTGCAATATCTAGAAACGGTAGATACAGTATCACCTCTCGAATCATGTATGACATTTCTAGCGATCATCTTCCTGTCGTATTGGAAGTGGGTGATGAGCAGACCTTGGAAGAGGGAACTTCCCCAAGGAAACGGGTTGATTGGGACCTATACAAGTTGTTTCTTAGAGAGTTCCCCAATATCCCGATCATAGATAATCAGAACGGTATAGATGTGGCTCAAGCAAGCGAAAAGGTCTTGCCAAACTGATGAAATTCGCAGTGCGACGAATCTTGTTCATGAAGTAAGAAATGCTCTCCATGAATTCCGCAAAGAGTAATGGAACGACTTTCTGGCGGGGATGCTAGACTCAAGTACTCCTCTCTGGAAAGTGGCGAAGTCGCTCAGAAACGGAAAGCGAGAACAACTCCCGCACATCCACGATCCTGGGGGCATAGTTTTCAGGACAGGGGACAAGGTCGAGGCTTTCGCTGATGCTATGGTACGACAGTTCTCTCCCAACTATGATCTTGACATGACCTCGACGAGGTGCAACAAATTGTAAGATCCGTCAGGAGATATTTTAGGGCCAATGGCGTCAGTGATCCCTGCGCCGCCATTAGTGGTTCTTCCTCAGAATATTCTTTTTCGGAATTTTCTTCAGCTGAAGGGGTTGCACAGCACATCAGCGGCTTCTCCCGAGATAGCGCATTACACACCAGCAAAGCTTCAAGGTCCTATTAAAGACCTCAAAGTGCGTAAAGCGCCTGAGGAGGATCAAATCGCTAATAAGGCGCTGAAGCTCCTTTCACGGAAGTCCTTGATTTATCTCGTGGCTATTATCAATGCCATGCTAGGGACCCAGTACTTTCCATCGGCGTGGAAGACTGTCGAAGTTACAATGATTCCAAAGAAGGTGGGTTAGACATTTCCCCAGCACTGTCGTCCCATCAGCCTACTGTCTGCTCCGTCTAAGCTCGCTGAAAAGGTGATTCTACGTCACCTTGCGAATTCTTGTCAGATCACCATGTGATCCTGACGTGCAATTTGGATTTCGGTCTGAGCATAGAGTTACAACCAGTTAGGTTTGTTGAGCGAGAGTAACCAGGGGCTTCACCCTTAACAACAGTACTGGCATCTTGCTTCTGGATGTCTCGAAGGCATTTGACAAGGTATGGCACAAGGGCCTTCTCTATAAACTAATCCGAAGGGGCTGTCCATTTTGGTTCCTAAAACTTTTGAAATCCTTCCTCGAAGGTAGTAATTTCGGATCAAAATTAATAATTTTTTGTCTACAGTACGGCACATCAGAGCCGGCGTCCCTCAGGGTTCGGTTCTAGGGCCAATCATTTACTCACCTTTCACGCATGTCCCTTGCCCTAGCGAGTGTAGTATTTCTACTCCTATGTGCTGATGACACTGCACTGGTGAGCGTACCGGGAATCTGATTCACGACGGGTTACAAAGTGCGGTGGATGAGGTATTGGAATGGGCACGCTATCTGTTGTACTAAAAAACGTAGCGGCGCGCCGGGTTAGGTTTCAGAGAATGGAACTTGCATACCATGGGGAAATTCTGCTAAGTATCTCGGTGTCACTCTTGACAGGGGGACGACCTAGCAGAATTGCAATGAAGCGTTAAAAACTAAGTTCCAAATTACGTTCCGGCAACTCTACCCTTTGCTATGTAGAACCTCAAAATTAAGTGGTCAACAAAGTTCTGCTGTACAAGATGGTTATCAGACCAGCAACCATTTACGCATGTGCAGCATGGTGTTTTCTTGCCAAAAGCAAATGCGTAATCTGCAGGTTTTGTAGAACAGTACCTTCCGAACCATCACTAACGCATCGTGGTATGTCTCCAACGAGACCCTTCACAGAGATTTCGTCATCCCTTACCTAAGGGACTACATCAAACATCAGGCGCAGTTACGTTATAGTCAAGCGGAATCGCACAGCAACCCTCTGTTGCGTCAGTCAGTAGACCACACAGTCGAGCAAGTTCGCAAGCACACAAGACCGCGGCTTGCACAGTGATCAACATCAAATCATGCAATTCTAGGTCCAACCAAAATGGCACACACAAATTCCTAAATTAATTTTTGGATTAATTTAAAATAACCGAATACCAGTTAACAATAGCAAGGCAACCCTTTAAACGGCGCACTTCACCCCATTCCTTCCTTTCTTTCTCCCTGACTTCGTCTGGTATCTAGGCAACCAGACTTGACAGACCTACCGACCTACGATACTTTAAGAGCGAAGGTCCGACGGACCGCTCTGACGGACAATGACGAATAGAGAGGTATTGTAATGTTTGGTGACAACCGCTGTCAAGTTTTGTCGAGGGTAAGAGCGAAAAAACTGGTGACAGGTGCTGTCATACAATTTTTCATTTAGAAACCATTTGTAATTCCACGCACGCGTTTGTGATTGGTAGAAATGAAAACGATGGCAATAGTCTTGTTTCGGTTGCACATAAGGAGTCTTGATGTAAAAAGAAATCAACTAATATTACAACAGTTATAATTTTTTTTTAAAAGCAACTACTAGATCATATTTTTAATAACATTGCGATATATTCTCAGTCCAGTGGAAATCTATTTCGTAATTTTTTCGAAGCTGTAGCAGGATCTGTCCTTTGTCGATGAGCTTGAAGTCTCAGAAGTCAATCCTCAACTGCGTTTGTTGCTTACCGTCTTCCGTGTCCAGGTCTTCTTGAGTGAAAAAAAAGACACAGTTTCGCTAAATCTTCATATCGCATCCAATGCAGTACTGGGTGGAACGGCAAGCCTTTCTGTGATTACCGAATAGGACGACCATCACCTTGTAAAGCTACAACTGCGCTAGTTGTACCAGTGTCATTTTGTTGGTTATTGCTTGACAGCAGTCCTTTTGACATGCCATAAAAAATCTAACAGACACAGCCTACTTAAAAGAATTTTATGATCGGCAAAGCCTGCTTGAAACAATTTCTTGTTTATTGCTATGTTTTGCATGATTTTCTTCAAACCAGCATATATACTACTCGTACTTCAGTAATTGAGATATTGTCATAAATCAAATAAAGAAATAGTTGAGGCTCAAAATTCTCATACGGAGACACATTATTCAGTAATCCAGTGTCTCCACAGGGTGTTCAGAAGTTTAGGGCAAAACGCACCTTTTAGTTAGGCACTGTATTACAACAAATATTTTCATGTTTTGCAAAATGGTCAGTCAATAATGATTACAATGAAATTACCTACAAATTGACAAAAAATTAACGAAATTGTAAGTAAAATTTAATTTGAACAAAATTTTGTTTGTCCGGTTAATTTTGCGAGGCAGTGTATTTATTATATTTAATCTATTTCGGTATTATTACACTTCCTCTTCCAGCAGGAATGGGAAGTAAAAAGAACCACTAAGCTGTACTCACTGTCAACCTAAGGGTAGGCTCAATCTCCCCTAATATGTTGACTTATTTAGAAAAACATCTACTTTATAGAAAAGTGATTTATTGTGTACTATAAATTACAAAAAAAATAACCTCATTCAGTTCATTTGACAGTTGCTTGTTGCTGTTGTACTTTTATACCCGCACGTGAGGGAAAGCATATCCCTAACCTGAAAAGAACGTATATACTCTACTGAATTTACAGTGCTGTTCAGAAAGGCTCTCCTCGTGCTTATTTTTTAATGCGGAAATTCGGGGTGATGAAATGGTTACTGAATCTTAGCGTTAAAATGGCAGTTGAAAATTTTAAGATGGCGCTTAGGCGCCATTTTGGAGCATTTTGGAAGTGGGATATGGAGTCGTGTGATAGAGCTAGCGCTACTTATGAGTACTTTATGATCCTAAAATATGAAATCACTGTCT